TAATATTATATACCTAATTTTATTAGAGGTACTCATATAGTAAGGTTTTTTGTTGTTGTTAGTAAGTTTTAGAAAACAAATTATATTGTTTATGATAAATATTTCTTAATTTAATGAAAAATTTGACAATTGTACAAAAAATGTTTGTTTAGGATTTGTGACAAATGTGTAAATTACTACTGAAGGAATTTATTTATTTTTAATAAAATAGTTATTTATTGTAAGAGTGTGTTAAAAAGCGTTTTATCCACGCAAGAATGTTTAACCGCGAGAACGTCAGTTCAAGCGGTTAATTTTCTTAAGTGGATAAAACGCGACTAACACACGACTGTAATATAACGTTTTATCTACAATCACAGGCCCAAATTATTCGAAACTTAATTAAAAATTAAACTGACATTTAAACGTCACGCCAAATGTGCTTTCGGTTAAACGTAGTTTAGTAAGCTCTTATGCGGGGCGCTAGTTACTAACAGTGGAATAAAGTTACTTTTATTCCACTAAAATAAAGTGGTACTTTATACGTGTCTAAAGTGTGGAATAAAGTCTCTTTATAGAGTGATTGTGGATAAAATAATTTATTTAAATCAAAATCAGAATTAAAAATTGTATCTATTTAACTAAACTGCAAAGTGACGGTATTATCAAAAATTTAGAGAAGGAAAAAAGATTGAAAGTAAAAAAAGTAAAGAGTTTAATCGAATCTCTTTCTTAAGAGTTAAAATCGTGTTTTTCTGAAGGATGAAAGATGCAAGAATTGTATTTGTTGGTAACGATAAAGATCTTTTTTCTCAAAAATTTAATTTAAAACGTTTATATTAAAAAAGAAGAACGAGTCTCGTTTTAAAAACCAGTCAAAAGTAAAATTTTTTCACTGAAGAAATGCTTACGAAATTACAATAACAAAAACTTAGTCTGGGTTTTGTTTTTGTAATATCGTTTCTATGGATCATAAATAAACTAATGAAACTATTTTTACTTTCAACTATTATTTCAAGCCTTTTCTGTGAAACTCTACCACTGGCGTTCAGTTTTCACCCAAAAAAATTGTATCCGTTAAATTACTATTTGGTGTTTCAGCTGAAATTCCATCAATTACGGTTAGCGGTGTCGAGGAGGATGAACCTGCAGCTGAAGGCAGTTCGGAAGAATGTATGGGCCCCCCGAGCATAGCAGGCACGTCTGCTGAAGGCACCCAGGAATCAAACCACCCAGAAGAGTCCGAAGGCTACGATGGTGTCACCTCCGAAGGTGAAAAACAACCTAGTACTGAAGAAGGAGAAGAAGAAGGGAGAGAAGCTGAAGCTTCTCCAAGTACAAATACCCGATCAAGGACAACACGTGCTGGAGGACCAACAGCACGACGATCTGGAAGACAATTAGCTTCTCGAGGTGTGTCCAGGTCTGGACCAACCCCGATTGTGTGGGGAGAACACAGACATAGCCCTCAACAACAACAACAACAACAACGACATCCAGGTGAGTATTTTATAAATTAAAAACGAGATTTTAATAACATGTTTCAATAGATGGACCAAGAGGAAGACCTAATTTACAGTCAAATTATTCTCCTAGAGCTTCAAGACGTCCTAGAGGGCGTGCCCAGCGTCCATATGGCAGATTTTAAGTTAATGTAATTATACTTAACACTACCATTCCAAGTAATACACGCGTTCAAAATTTACACATAGAGTGTAGATATTTTGTTTAAGTGTTTTTTTATATTTAGTTCGGTGTAAAAAGTGAATTAGGTAGGTCTTAAATGTAAATTCGTATACTGAGAACTTCTTGACTGACTGGAGAATTTTTTTATTCAGTTTTAACATTTCATTTTCAAGGAGTGTTAGTTTAAGTATTGTGTTATTTTGTTTACATTTACTTTAGATACAATCGTTTCAACATGAAATAAAAAGATGGGTACTGTGTTTTATTTAAAAAACGACATTCACATATCGGTTTTTCATCACTCGTCGCTACGCGGCTCGTTTCAGAAACACTAAATTGGCTATAAATACATCTAAGCTGTTAATCATTTTCGGTTTCATTGTCAAGTTATTAAAAAAAACAAAAATACATTAAGTAAATAAGATAGTGTTTCAGGAGACTTATCTAATCACAATAAAACGCTTTTGCTCCTCAATTATAAATATTTATTTACATAAATAATATAAAATAAATAAACTAATCTACATTGTAAGTACGAATATCACAATTGCACAAAAAGTCTGATGAAATGATTTTGGAATGTTTGTTTGAAATGAATGAATGATGAACTCTTAATGTTTTAATAATAAAGACCATAGAAGGTCCTTTTCAGTTTATAGTTTTTTAAATGTGTGAAGAATTGTCATGAATTTATTGTAATACTGATCAGAATATAAAATTAAGTATTCGGTGTTAGATAACCTTTCATCACATCTAGAATCCATTTGTCATGCAATGGAGAAATAATTGATGTGGAAGGGTGAAAGCCTAATCCAAAAATTTTTCGGAAATATTTTCTTCACTTTCTTTTTCCTTCATTATTTTCTTCTTCAATAATTTCCATTTCATTGGAAATAACCTTGTGTTATTTTGGAGTATCTGCAATATTCTGACACGAACATGATGTATGATTTCTTATTTCAAAAAAATATGGTTTATATTGTTTGTCGATTTTCACAAAAATTGTGGCATTAAGTATTTCCTCCTTAGCGGCCTTACAAACTTTGCCTTGACCACAACAGCCACTACCTCCATCGCATCTGAAAGCAAAAATGAAAATTAGTAAAAATCTAGGAGGATAATGTCCTGAGAAATAAATAATGCCCTACAGCACAATATTGATCAATAATTAAAGTAAGACATAAATAACTATTATTTACAAATCAGTTTCTATTTGTTAGTCGAGTATTATCGCAAGAGTTGGTAATATAAATAAAGCAAGTGATTCATTTCGGAACGTGTTTCAGGCATTAAACACTTTCCTGATATCACGGTTAACAATAAAAAATATTGAAAACAGTTTTTCAAATAAAAAAATTTAAATATAATTCATAAATAAAGCCGGTTCAGTTTTTGATTGAAAAAAGACGTCCAGAAATGCTTTTTTTAATCCACATTTTATGTATTCTATCTCATAATAATTTGTAAAAAATCTTGCTTATTTAGAAATTTTAACTAAAATCTTGTACATACAGCACCGAGTTGGTAAAGTCCATTATTTACTTTTAAATCTGAATTTAAAAAAAAATTATTTAATAATTTCCTATACTTATATTTTTTTTATTTTAAGAATTAAAGACTAATATAATAAGACTGTACCAAGTTACTGGGACACCCTAGACATCCTAAAAACCGCTTAGCCTATTTATAATCAAAATTGAAAATATTTGTTAAAAGTTAGGGTTCTTTGTTTAGAACCAATAACATTTTTCATAATACGCCAAATTGTGATTTTCAAGAAATAAAACTTTAGAACGAATTTTGGCACATATTTCATGCCAAAAAATATTTTTTATGTCAAGGTTACGAACTTTAATAGCACACAATTCAAAGAGTTAACCGTATCTAAAAATGAAAGTGTTTTACTCGTAGTTTTCTAACTTTTTATTTGTAGATGGTGATTATGTATATTTCAATCGAATTAACTCAAAAAAAAAATATTGTTTACATTCTTTTCTCCGTTACATTCAAGGCCATACGTTTGAAACCCTTTATCTTTGAAAACAAACATTTTTCAGCTAAGCTAAACGGAGATACTTTAGCTTCTTTTGACATCTTAAAAAAGCACCCTGAAAAGTTTATTTTCACACAATTTGGTCCAGATTGTTAAAACAACCAAACCGTGTATTTTCTTCAACCAAAGAGCATCTTGGCGGATGCGCCGGATAACACTAGTTTACAAATAATAACTTGTTTAATATACTTTTAGTCAAATTACAGTGTTTTTCTTTTGTCAATGTATTTCACTCTTTCTCAAAACTATTTCGTTTTGACATTAATACAGGGTGTTCCGTTTTTATTGTTACAAATTTAAACAGGTGCTAGGATCAATTCTAAGACAAAAGTTTTCTATAAAGATATATCGAAAAATGCTTGGTAAGAGAGCTAGACCCCCTGGAAGGGGGCTAATATGTTTCTGCTGATATTTCAGAAACCATTTAAGATAAAATTACAAAATTTGGTACAGATGATAACATTTATACACCTAAACGAATTCAAACATCAAATGTGGAAATTTTTAATCAGGGGCGTACGACACTGGGGGAGTTTAAGGTAAAAAAACACCTTATTTATTTTGGCTTTAGTTTCTCAGTACTTTCAGCAACAAAATCTTAAGTTCGATAGTTTATCACAGAAAAGTCTCTCTTATTGTTTTTGAATAAAATTAATTTAAAATTTATGTTACACACCAATACAACATTCAAATAAATCAGAATTTACAGAATAATAAAAGCAAGAAATTCATATTTTTTAATCAACCTCAACTAATTAACATTACATTACAGTAACAATAATAACATTAATTAAATGAATTTGCCTAAATCTAAAGGAGTTGTTCAAAGTGACCACCATTTTGGTCAATGCATAACTAAAGAAACTAAAGCCAAAATAGATAGGGTATTTTTTTACCCTAAACCCCACCAGTTTCGGACGCCCCTGATTAAAAATTTCAACATTTGATGTTTGAATTCGTTTAGGTGTGTAAAGGTTATCATCTGTACCAAATTTTGTAATTTTATCTTAAATGGTTTCTGAAATATTAGCAAAAACCTATTAGCCCCCTTTCAGGGGGTGTAGCTCCCTTACCAAGTATTTTTCGATATATGTTTATAGAAAACTTTTGTCTTAGAATTGAATATCCTATCACCTGTTTAAATTTGTAACAATAAAAACGGAACACTCTGAAATAGTTTTGAGTAATAGTGAAATACATTTGACAAAAGAGGAAAACCAAAAGCAAAACACTGTTAATTTTTGTATCACATCACAGTTTTTTGTTGCGAACTATAATAAAAATAAAATAAAAAATATATAAAATAATAAATATGTTAGGAAATTATTGTTGGACTGTTATAAAGGAAACTGATTCAGGAAATTATAAAAAACAAAGAAAAATATCTCATCTTAATTTGTTGTTTGGCGGTTTTTATATTTTAGTTGATTACATATTTCTTAAACATAACGTGGTGAACTTTTTAAATAGTTTTTTTTTGAACTCATTGCCTCAGAATCTATAAGAAATAATTTTTCAACGGGAAAAAAAATTGTGCATGAAATCATAACTTTTTTGCTTGAAGAAATTTACAAAAAAACATGCAAAAGGGATATTAAATAATGATGTCATTTTTTTACAATTTATTTCCACTTTTGGAATCCCTTTAACATCACAACCTTTAGTGAAGTTATCTTTTAACAAATATTTACCTCTACATTGCATGTGTTATACTTGATTTTTAGTATTTTGCCCGCTTATTTCTGATAGTATAGATAACAGAAACACTTCATTTGCATTTTTAAATCAATTGAGTGATATGATGCAATCCTTTTTGAATCACACTGTTAAGTATTTATTGTACATAAAACATGATAATGACAAGCAAGGTAAAATATTTATTTTACGTATAAATGAATAATATTTAATTTATTATTTTCACTTGTATATAGGGTGATTTTAAAGTATGTGCAAATATTTTAACAGGTGATAGTAGAAGTCAAAATAACTTGTTTGTCGAATAAATTTGAATAAAAATATGATCTCTGAGGTTAGCTGTTCAAAATCTGTTACATTATTTTTAAAAAAATGAGTTAAAACCAGCAAAAAGAGGCACAGAAAACAGTGGCCTTACATAAAAATATCATAGTAAAAATTTGCAAGCATTTTTTTATTGAATTTCATTACTTCAAATATCACCGACAATGTAAACTTTGTGAAAAAGTACTCAAATGGTAAGGTAATAAAGTTACCAAGAACATAGAAAAAAAGTTAAAAAAATTCTATCTATAAATATTTCGAAGTTAAGAGATTAAGAAAGTTAAGAAATGACTATAAAAAAAAACATATACATATAAGATCATCAGTATCAATAAACACATAAAAATGTCAAATGTCAAAAAGTGATTTCAAAATTTTTTGACAGAAATTTTTAAACATTTTTTCCATGTTCCTGATATCTTATTTTACTTGAATTTTTTTGCGAGTTTTAACACCCTATATTTTATTTTTTTGACAATTTTTCCCACCCTCTAAATCTCAGAAACTATAAACATTCGGATAAGACAAGTTATATGTTGTTTAGACTTTTTTGAGCTCTTCTATCACCTGCTAAATCTTCACATTTGCACTTATTTTTATTTAAATTACAGAATCGTCCTAAATTTTTGATGACAAAAACGAGTTTCACGTCAAACGGCTTTAAATAAATTTCCAGAATTCTAAGTAATTTTAACTTGTTTCCCATAAAACTGTCGTTAACCCAGGAAATTTCCTTCTAAAACTGACTGCAAACAGTAAAATAAAAAGCGAAAAAAAAGTAAAACAGCGCACCCAAGTTTTATACCAATATACAGGGTGTTCCCTCTAAACCTCACATTAGAAGTATTGGGAGTTCGAATAATTGTATTTATTTGAAAATTGGTGCATAGCCATAATCCATTAAGTCCTCCAAAATGAGAATATTTTCAAAATGGCGGCACTTCCGTTTATACCGGAAGTCAGTCTCAACTTTCTTATTTTTAATGGAAAGCTATAATTTTTACTGCGTTTTTGGATTAATCGGATTATTTTAAGAGACTTTTTATCAGCTTTCCCTATACCTAAATTTAGTCGTTTTTGAAATATTTGGAGTTTTTCAAAAATTGTTGGATCTGCACCTTGCACTTTAAAAATCGGTAACTCTGCCATTTCTTAAAATTTTGAATTCGTTTTTTGGCGTTTTAAAGAGAAAGCTTAGATCTTTGTTCAGGTATTTTCAAATTTTGAAAAAAAAAATAACAAACCCCAAAATTTTAAGGTTACTTTTGCAATGATTCAAATACCCATAACTCATTTTTTCAAATGAAATACCCCAATTTTTATTTTACTAAATGAAAGAGAATTTAATTCTGCATCAATCAATTAACATTCCCTATACCAAATTTAATAATTGTCAAGTTATGGTGACTTTTTGTTAAGACTGCGGAAAATCTATTACTACCCACACCCGTTTTTGCATAGTTTGCTATGGAAATCAAAAATTTCAAAATTGTTTCTCAATAAATGTCGACAGTGGATTATTATTTGACAAATAGTGCCAAAATATGGAGAATCAAAGCTACTCAAACTTAGATTTAATGAATTTATTTTGTATTTATGGAGAGTGTAAAAAAATATAATGATGTAGTTCATTAAACAAGTAAAAATAATAAATAATACTGGCTACTTGATAACTAGTATAACTAATGCGATCATTTGAATTGATAATTAGACTAGGCTTTATTAGGTATGAAAACAATGATTATCATAGTTAATTAAGTTAAAGAATCAAATAATAAGATTTTGAACGGTAATATTTAATTAGAATACATTTTTTCATTCATAAAGAAAAAAACCGCCTACTCTAATTATAGATTCAAATTAATTAATAATAATTAAGTGTGAGTAACTTTCATTTTCCCTATTTTGGCACTATTTGTCAAATAATAATTTACTGTTGATGTTTGTTTAGAGAAAATTTTCACATTTTTGATTTCCATAGCAAACTATGCGAAAACAGGTGTGGGTAGTAATAAATTTTCTGTAGTGTTAACAAAAAGAGAGAATGTTAGTACAGATCGATGCACAATTAAATTCTCTTCTATTTAGTAGAACAAAAATTCATTTGGAAAAATTGAGTTATGAGTATTTGAATTATTACAAAAGTAAACTTAAAATTTTGGGATATGTTATTTTTTTCAAAATTTGAAAACACCAGAAAAAGGATCTAAGCTTTCTCTTTCAAACCCCAAAAAAACGAATTCAAAAGTTTAAGAAATGGCAGAGTTACCGATTTTTTAATTGGAAGATGCAGATCCAAAAATTTTTGAAAAACTCCAAATATTTCAAAAACGGCTAAATTTAGGTATAGGGAAAGCTGATGAAAACTCCCTTAAAATAACCCGATTAATCCAAAAACACACTAAAAAATATCCCTTCCCATTTAAAATAAGAAAGTTGAGACCGACTTCCGGCATAACCGGAAGTGCCGCCATCTTGAAAATATTTTCATTTAGGAGGACTTAATGGATTATGGATATGTACCAATTTTCAAATAAACATGATTATTCGAACTCCCAATACTTTTAATCTGGGGTTTAGACAGAACATCCTGTATGACAAAAAAACGACGCTTATTTGGAGACCTTCATAATTCATAAAACGCAAACACATACCGGTTTAAGTTTTTCAGGCTAAGCGTTATTTTTTTGTAATATTACTTGATGAAATATGTGATGCAAATTAAAAAAAATCTTACCATTATTTAATATAGTGTCAAATAACTAATGAATGAAAGGTTTGGCTATTTTGCTTTTGCAAAATAATAATAATAAGAAAAAGTTAAATCACCCCTCACCTGTGAAAAACAGCCATGTGGGGTGCTGTATCCTGGGGAATTTTAACTTCTTGTGCTAGAATAACGGCCCTTGGTTGAGGAATTTTACACGTTAACGCGACACAAGTAGGAGTATGTACTAAATCCACAAATCTGTGTAAACTGGCTCCTTTAACGGCAAAAATAACAGTAAAAAGCACTAATTGTCTAAGCAAAACGTAGCACATATTTAATTCTGCCGAACGAAATTTTGGCGTCGACTTGTAAATGCCACCGATTTTTTTCTTTATTTTTAGTGACACTTGTGGATTATCGCAGTGTACAATTTTAGATCGTCTGCCACTAGAACTTCGTCTGTTAATACATTTTATCAACGTGTGCTGGCTTAGGACTCCTTGGAGGCTTGCCGTACTTTCTTTATATCACCTCTAAATTATGACGTCAGACATTATTCATACTTTGGTTTTGCAAAATTACAAGTGATTTTTTCTCTATTAATTAAAATATACAAATATACAGTCATCTTACTTACTTACGATAATTAACAGTCAGTAAACAACTATTATTATTAATGCTTTAAAAAAAAATTCAACGACTATTTTTATCGTAAAATCTCGTGCACCTATAATAATAAATTTATCGATAAACAGAGACACAACCCAGACTGGAGACAATAATGCAAATATATTTGACTGTTATCAGACCTTGACTTATCAACTGAAAATAAATGGATAAACAGATTTTTTCCTTATTCGATGAAACTGCTAATTCTTACGGAAAAGTGTCAGTGACTGAGTTTCATGAAATAAAAAAATCATTACTACCAACATTTATTATACAAGACGATAAAATTGAAATTTATGTTTGAGAGTAATTTACTTTACTCAGCTGACGCCTCGACGCTAATATGCTCGAAAAGATAATGAAAATTTTATCGTCGTGTACAATATAAAATTTTATTCAATCCTCACTAATTTTGTAGTCAATTTGGTCGATATTTATAAATGTCAAAGTAAAATTCAACAATGAAATCTAATGTCGAAGAGTAGATAAAATTCACTTTTAACATAGAGGATGAGTTTGAGTGTAAATCGGACTCTTTATTTGACCAAAGAGTGGATTTTTAAACCACGAGGTGGAATAAAGCGTCCGATTTACACTCAAACGAGTGGAATACAATATTTTATTCTTCGAGTTAGAGTCAACAAGGGTTAAACTTGCTTTAAATCTGTTAAAAATAATTAGACGTTTTGTATTGAGAAATGCCAAACAGTTGTCAAAACTTCCTCACACGGGAGAAAAACCGTAAATTTTGACAGTGTCGAAGAATAAAATCTTTTTGTAATTTTTTTTTAAATCTTTTTATTTTAAATCTTTTTATTTATTTTATTTATGTAATGTTTTACAACTTTATAGCTCATTTTCATTGGAAGGAATTGTAAACTTTTTTATTGTGCTACAGATCCTGGTAACATTTTGTATACAAAAAATTGATGCTAAATTTTTATCTCTTTATTATATTTTTTCTGACTTTTGATTCATTTTAACTCATTTTTTTTTAAACTAATAAACTTTAAGTAGCTGACTCAGAGATCATATTTGTTTTTTTCTTGTTCATGTTTAATTTCAATTTATTGGGTGACTAAAACCCTCTATACAGGGTGCGCCATATAAGATAAGATACCAGAAACATAGAAAAAATGTTAACAAAATTTTATTTATTCTTATTTTCTCTTATCCTTTATTCCTGTTGGAAAAATAATTTTCCAAGTTTTTTTGCTACAGGTTATTAGAAGAGGAAACAAGGAAGCTGTATCCTAAATTGTAACTCTGTTCAATGTTATTTGTGGCTTTTATTGGCAAAATTTTTGTCCTTTTACTAAATAATTGTAAAAAAACATATACAAGATCATCAGTATCATTAAATAGATATAAAAAAAAATGTCAAATGTCAAAAAATAAATATCAAAATTTTTGGCGCACTCTGTATATCTCAGAAATTGCAAACATTCAGATAAGGCAAGTTGAGTTATTTTGACTTTTTTTAGACTTGTACTATAACCTTTTCAAATTTCAGCACCACTATAAAAGTCACCCTGTATATTAAAAAATAAATAAATAAAGCTGTTTTTTTCTTTTCCAATAAAAGATGAAAATTTAAAGAGAAGATATATTTGCAATTTTGTAATTTGTTACCAAAAATAAGTAAAATAATTATTATGTCACCAGTTCGCCAATTTGACAGAAAAAAATATGGTAAGGATGGGGTGTTTAGGACGTTGGGATGCTTGTGTAATCTGTTCCTTGATTTATTTATATATTTTGCTGCTTATTCGAAATTCATTCGTTACCCAATAATAACTGGTTGCATAATGATGATTTATTTACAAAACGACAATATTTTGATTTATTTATTTATTTACGAATTTCCGAGAAAATTGACAATGTTGTACAAATTTTTGGAATTTAATCAAAATTTCTTGGAAGTATTTGAATTGTTAAAATGATATTGGATTGTTATGAATAACTAGAATTTTTCTGAAATTACTGGAATTCTTTTTGGAATTATCGGAAATAATTTCTTCTGAAAATTATGACGAATGAGTTATTCGAACTTATCACTTATTTACCAGGGCAAATCGAAAAGAAATCTACAGGGCTATAAAACAAAATCTTTTATTTGGTACTCAATGTTAAAGAGTTCTTTTATCAACTAATTTCAGTAGATAAAGTAGTCGTCTAGTGAAATAAAGTAAGTTTTATCTACTGTTTATATTCTTTATTTTGTACAAGAAATTCTGGTAGGTGAGAAACTCATTGTACGCAAAGTATAATATCCGATGTGATGAATAAGTGCAAATACGGATAAAATTTCGAAAGTATTATCATTAAGTTGTGTTAATTAATACGGGATGTTCGCGAGAAGTCGTATCAGTCGTTAACTTGAGATTTTAACAATTTGTTCAAAAGCAAATAGACTATTGCAACCGTTGTAGTTTTTGTTTTTTCAGCGATAGCTGATAAGTGATAACTGATAACTAAGTGATGAAGCACTCATCAACATCATAGCGACTATACAGAGTGCGCCAGAATTTGCGCCTCAGAGAAAAATGTCATGTAACGTAAAAAAAATTCTATCTATTAAAATTTCGAAGTTATAGAGTTTAAATTTTGCACTTTGGCTCTTTTAACTATACAGGGTGCGCCAGAACTCGCGCGCCAGAGAAAAATTTCAAGTAAGATAAGATACCAGGAACATGGAAAAAATGTTTAAAAAATTCTGTCAAAAAATTTTGACATTTGACATTTTTTTGTGTCTACTTAATGATACTAATGATCTTGTATATATTTTTTTACAATTATTTATTAAAGGTACAAAAAATTTGCCAATAAAAGCTACAAATAGTATTAAACAGAGTTACAATTTAGGACACAGCTTTCTTGTTTATTTCTTGTTTCCTCTTCAATAACCCAAAATTTAAACTCTCATAACATTGAAATTTTTATAGATAAAATTTTTATAACATTTTTTCCATGTTGCTGGTATCTTACCTTCAATGGCATTTTTCTTTGGGGCGCGAGTTCTGGCGCATCCTGTAGATACATTATGCTACTCATAATTCACATTTATCACAAGTCTGTCATAACAAATATAAATTTTGTAAGTAGAAAATGATCGTAGATAAAATGTCGTATTCTATTTGCATATAATGAACATTATTCCACTCAGGTGATTAAAAAACTCGTATACGACTCGTTTTTTAAAAAATAGCCATTATTATATGCTCGTTGAATAATATAAGTACTATTATTTCTATGTAATTTAAGGTGTTGCAATGTCATAAAGACAAACCTGTCAATAACTGTAATTTTTTCTTAACATTAAAATAATATTTTGGTAAGATCAAGGCTTAACATCCTAGCCAATAACATTATTTGTCACAAATGAAAAAAATGACAGTGGTTTTTTAAATTAAAAAAATGTGAGGGGTGTTTTTTAAGTTCTTAAAAATTATTATCCGTTTACAACATACATATCACCGTCAACTATAACGCCAAATTTAAATAAACACCCGTTATACAAAGTGCGCCAGAACTCGCGCCTCAAAGAAAAATGCCCATATACAGTAGGAAACCAGGAACATGAAAAAAAATTTATCGATAAAAATTTCGAAGTAGTGCACTTTGACTCTATTTATTTCTGTTGGAAAAATAATTTTCCAAGTTTTTTTTACTACAGGCTATTATAAGAGGAAATAAGGAAGCTCTATCCCAAATTGTAACTCTGTTCAATGTTATTTGTGGCTTTTATTGGCAAATTTTTTGTACTTTTACCAAATAATTGTAAAAAAACAAAACATCAGTATTCAAATAGACTTTAAAAAATGTCAAATGTCAAAAAATAAAGGTCAAAATTTTTTGACAGATAGAATTTCTTAAACATTTTTCCATATTCCTGGTAACTTATCTTATAGTAAAATCGTTTTCATAAGACCTACTAAAAATTTTATGACACATTATAAGGGATTAACCAAACAATGGCTTGAATTTGTAACCTTCCATAAATGGTACGTTCCTTTGCAAGTGTTGTTACTAAGCTATTATTAAAAAAAAACTATTAAAACATTTCAAGTATTTTAGACAAAAAGAAAGTAAGTAATCCGGCCCTGTTAAAAACTGACCTGTTTCAGGCTCCGGGTGGGTTCCACTAATTTATGATTTGTTTACTCTTAACAATACCGCATTTAACTAAAAAGTAATAAAATTTTTAGTAGGTCTTAGGAAAACGATTTTACTTTACTTAAATTTTTTCTCTGGGGCGCGAATTCTGGCGCACCTGTATTTGTTGGTCTTCTACTGTGTTCTGTGCTAGATATTAGATTTATTCAGTACATTTTAATAAGACACAAACCTAATTTTTCTGAATTGTTTAGTTCAAATGATGTAATTTTGTCTACTTTTTGGAAAAAAACAAACCACAAGAAATTTCTTATGTATTTTTACTAACAATTTATAAAGCGTGGGAGTTTTAACTTTTCGACAACTACGGATGAATCAAGAGGGTTCAAGATTTTGTTACCGGTATGTCGTGTTACTCATACGTAGCCACTGAATGCCATTGAGTTGGGTAACGTAATGAACACAATTTTAAAATATTTGCTTAAATGACTCAACTTAAGGACCAACCATCAATGTGTGGTTTTGGTCTGTGGTATTTTTTTCTATACATGAAATAATTTGAAGATATCTTGTAATTATATCCTGTTTTAAATGTGTAAATTAATCAAAAACAGTTTATAAATTTATCCCCTTATTTGTAAAAATACAATTTTTTTCCTAGTTCAGTGATGAAAAAAATATGGATCTTATTAAAAAATA